GTATCCAACCCGAGATTGTGAGTTTTCACGTAACGATTTAACATAACGATATAAAGAAACGTGACACATACCATAATCTTTAGCCACTTTTCTAATAAAATGGTTAGTATCTATTACCTTCCTAGCTGCTTCGTCATAAATAACTTTTGGCGTTAACCCCTTTCCGTTTTTCTTGGCCTTGGCTTCACCATTTTTCGTCGATCTAGAAAATAAAGAACTCTATTAAAAAGGAATATAATAGGTGTCAATTGTAACATGTTACAAACGACACCGCAGTGTGTGTTACATTCGACACCAAGTTAACCTATAAATAAGAAATATGATTTTTGTATACATTATGCCCTTCGTAGAAAAGGTGAGCTATAGTAAACGAAAAAAAAAAGATGTTAAAAAAGATTGACCTTACCTTAAAATATTTTCAAGTTAAGTTTTGAACGGCAAAATCAACAATTTGTGACGCAACTACTTACTTACTTACTTAATTAGTCCTAAGCCTTTCTACCGTTAGGTAGGTGTAAGACTGGTGGAGTTAGGTTTTGCACTATTGCATCCATGCTTTTCGGTATTGTGTTAGATTTCGTGCACTTTTCCATGTCAATCCTTCCTTCTCAACTTCTTTTCTGATTTCGTCTACCCACTTAACTCTTGGTCTTCCTTGTTTGTTCTTCCCTTACACTCTCGTTTCAAACACTTGTTTTGTTCATCTTTTATTCGATATTCTACACACGTGCCCGAACCCTCTTAGTGACGCAACTAAAATGTACTTTTATGATGAAACACAAATATGTGCCTGGAACTTGCGAAATAGGTTACGGCTAACTCTAATACTATAGTCAGTGGTGTGAGGTAGATATATCCGTTTATGCATATTAGTGCGTTTTGATTTATTTCAAAAGATGGCGCAAATATCACTATTGTTACAAACGACACCTGTTACAATTGACACCAGTCTCCCCTACCCAGAAAATGATATATATTTTTACTGCTGCGATAAAAAATTTTATGTTCAGATAACTCGAAAACTGACAATTCACAAATAAAATTGCGAATAGACGGATTATTCTCAAGTCTGGAGAAATTATTTGAGCTATAATAGAAAATACTTTTTCTCACACAGTTTAGACCCATAACCCACACGCCGATGCCCGCAGTCCATCCATCTTCTTAGATTAGGAATCAATGACTTCGTCCACTACGCCATCCTTCTCATCTCGTCCCATTACTCTTACCACACTTTAATGGATCTCTTCCTTTTTTTCTTTTTTTAGACTTTCTTTTGTTATGTCTTCCTTTCTTTTCTCCTATACTCTTTCTCTTTCTTTTACTAGTACGTGCATAGAAATTAACTTGTAGCGCCGCGACAGAAACTGTGTATGCACATGCCACTTTCAACGGACTCTTCCTATCTGCTCGGGTGAACTGCCTTTTTTAAAACTACCGTACTTTTGACAAGCGCCGCATATATAACGATCAATCTCTTTCTCTGAGATTTGGGCCCTCCGATGTTGGAAATGATCTCTTCAGCACGGCGGATCTCACCACAGCTCGATATCATCGATTTCACGTGCTTCCTAGACGTTCTGTTTTGACTAAGAGTTAAGAGCTAAATATCTTATGCATTTTTCTAGAACCACTATATTTCCTGCACCGTCGACTGTTATTCTGTCGCTTTTCCGTGATCTCTTGAGAACTATAATCTCGGTATTACCCACAGTCAGTTCTAGTCTATGCAATTTAATATATTCATTGACTTGGCTAGATGTAGAACTGAAGATAAAGTCACCCTTGTTCCGCGCCACTACCAGGGTAGCTAGATCATCCGCAAATGTAAAAGGGGTTACAACCTCTCCGTATTGTTGGCTCACGAACACGTCATATGCCAGGTTCCACAGCGTGGATCCTAAGATCGACACCTGCGACAGTCAAACTGTCGTTGACCATCACTCCTTTTCTAGAACAATTTTCCTCTCTGTTCGTCTGAGACCAAATTCATCAAGCAACTTGACAACTTCTCTTTCGTAAAGTCTTTATTTAATTTTTCCACTTTAAGGTGTTGAAAGCATTCTGGACGGCTGTAGTATCGCCCACTTCTGGTCAACCCTAACTCCACGCAATTCCCAGAAGACTTTCATCACCGCATCTACCCTGCACCTGTACTTTCTAAAACCGTACTTCTTGGGTTATAACCTGCCTAACTGTTCAATGACTGTGTCCACTCGACCTCTTAAAAGCCGCTGGTATAATTTACCTATACACGACAAAAGGCAAACAGATCGATACTTGTCTTCGCCCTTGGCGAAAAGGTGATAAAAATGTGCAATGCACATTTCACAATGCATGCTGGGATGAATACCTGGGATGAATCAGAAGAAAAACGATGGGTGACAGAAATTGCAAACTGTGTGCTCAATAAATTTACGTTGCTTAAATGACAAAGCTGGCGATGCCATTCACATAATCATTAATAGTAACAACTGTGGAATATAGCAAAAAGAACAACTACATGCTGGCCATATATAAATATGCGGTTACGATATTGGTAAACAGAAAAATAATTATGCATAAATTTCTGATTATGCAAAACGAGTGAGAGCAGCTCATTCGACATCTTCATGGATTTTACATCCAAACATCGTACCGATTGCACGTTTGGGAAGAGGTGAAGAAAAGAAACAATCGTCTCAAAAAGATCGTAATTCCAGCTTACTCTAAAAGACTTACTATCGATTAAAAAAAGAAAAATGTAACCTTAATTTTATTACGAAAGAAATAATACCAGCAATTCATTTTAAATCCGTTAATAGATAATTTGTGAAACTGAAAAAAATCGTTTGAAAATAAACATAATTATATTTTGTTTTAAAAAATTGGTTTACATTATAAGAAAAAAAATTGGTTTGTTGCAATATATTTTTTAGAAAATTAATTTAGTTTCTAATTTCATAGAGTACTTTATCTGTAAAATTGTCTTCGGTAAGTTACAAAAGACTATTTTGCAGCTGATTATGTCATTGTTTACGTCCTACCTCGTATTTTACCTAAATGAAATTGATGTTGATAAAAAAATCACAAATTCTTAGAACCTAAAGGGATCAATGTTAATGTTTAAAAGAAATAAATAAATTTCTTAGTTATAACCTGAATTGTAGCATCTTCACGTTTTACAGGTTCAGCACCTTTCTTAGATACCAAGTTAATACGAAAAGGTACCCATTTGCTGGTTGATTGGTATAGAAAACCTCTCAGTACAGGAAGATATCTCAATTATTGGTCATACCATAAATATTCAATGAAACTTAATTTAGTTAAAGAAATGAAAAATCGTGTCCTTAAAATCAGTGATACCGCTTTCCATACCAAAAATCTAAAAATCCTTTATAACCTATTCATTGAAAACTCATACCCAAGTATACTACTGAAGAAAATTTTGTTTAACACTCCACAAACTTTAACTAGTCATTTAAGAAACGAGGAAAATATGTCTTTATCACAAGATATAATTGGACCTGCAGATCCTTTACAAAAACAAACGACAATAAAATATGTATCCCTTCCATACATTAAGGACATTGGGCATAAACTTAGTAGAATTTTTTCATCACTTAATAATATCAAAATTGCATATAAAACGGTACTAACAGTTAACAAAGTTTTTTCTAAACTTAAAGACCAATCCTCACTATTGTCTTTAGCGGATGTTGTTTATTGTATACCGTGCGGATCATGTGAACAAGTATACTACGGTCAACATCAAGATGCCTTAAAGACCGCATTACATCGCACAAGTCTGATAATAGATTACATCCAGAAAGAAGTGCATTGGGTGAACATGCATTTAAAAATGGGCATCGAATAGATTACAATACCATCAAAGTAGTAGAACAGGAAAGTAACATCACCAAAAGACTTTTTCTTGAAATGGCCTACATTTGCCAAAATAACAATGCAATAAATCATAGAACGGATATTGGTCATCTAAATGAATTGTTCTCCTATTTGTTACTACTAGATAAATGCAACAATAACACAAACAGTAATTTATCAATTGACTTTTAATAAATTAAATAAAAGTTTTCTTTTTTAATTGTTTTTAAATTTAGTAATTTTTGTATACACACAGATACTGGGGTCATACAAAACAATATCATATTCAATTGTAATATTTTTAGAATTATGACCTTATTTCTTTAGGTTAATTTAATAAATTTTATGTTGAAACATTGACAAGTTAAAGTTTCACTTCTTTATGATATTAATAAATATAAAATAATTTATATTGCCACAATACATCTAATGATAGGCCTATAAATTGTTGTACTAGTATCTAATAATAAAAACCACTGAATTGTCTTGAGAAAAAACTAATGACGATATAATAAAATTAAGAATAAAAATGTCAGAAATATGTGTATAATAAGTAAGTGTTTGTGATTGTAAAGCAATTTTTAAAAATTTTAAATATAGGAATAAGTTTTATGTAAAAATATGACAGACTGTGATAAGTTTTATCGACATTGTAGAAAATCATTGGTGATCCAACCTCATTAAGTTTGTAAGTAGCGAATTTTTAATTAATTAAAAAAAACTTGTAACAAACTATTCATCACATTTGTAGCTCCCTGATGAAGGCATAACCATGTCCGAAAGCTCGGAATAAAAATTTAAAAGAGTACACGTATCATTTTTATTGCTGCAAACCCAATATTGAAAATTTACTTATATATATATATATATTAAATTATATATATATATACATATATACATATATATATATATACATATATATATATATATATATATATATATATATATATATATATATATATTTCCCCAATATTTAAGAGTTTACTATTTAACTTATCTGCAAAGATTAAATTTTTTTTCTATATATATATATATATATATATATGTATATATGTATATATATATATGTATATATATATATGTATATATGTATATATATATATATTATATATATATATATATATAATTTATTTTAGCGCATCCCAATTTAAAATTATTTATTAGTCACGGTGGGGCTTTGAGTACATCAGAAGCAGCGTATCATGGCGTCCCAGTAGTAGGAATACCATTCTTTGCTGACCAACATCTAAATATTAACATAATGGAAAGCAAGGGAATTGCTGTTCGAGTAGATTTTGTAACAATGACTACTAACACCTTATTGGATAAAGTAAACGAGATCCTTCACAATCCTAAGTAAGTAAAAATAAAAAAAAATAAGAAGTACGTACCTAAATATTTCAATTGTCTTCTCACGATATATTATTAATTTTATTTCTATTCTAAATTATTTAAGGCTCTATTATTTAAAATAATTTTTGGAATAAATAAAAATTCTCACGTTAATGTTATGACAACAAGACCACTTCTTCTTAAAGTTTCATCTCCGTTACTGATATTGGCAATCTCCATAGCGTCTTTCGAAGCAACGTCTTTAAAGAGTGGTTTTTAGTTGCAACCATACCATATTTTTCTTTTCTTTTTTCTTTCTGTTCTCTATTTTGCGTTGGATTATGTGCCGCATGGTGCCGTATTTTCCCCCACGCATTATACATATATATGTCTGAAATATTGCAGTTTTTTTTACTGCCCTTTCTACCTTTTTCTTGCTATTCTTAATACATTTTTGATTTTCCAGATATCTTTAGAATAGTTAGTATTTTAGACAAATGTCAAGTCTCTATTACATAGACTACTGTCAAATACTGATTGAATCATAAATAACTCTTCACATTTTAATCAGATAAAGATGAAAAATTAAATTGTACTGTACTAAAAACCAATAAATCACCAATTGAAGATATTATAACTGCAAAAATAATAAAGGCAATGGAAGAAATAGGTATTTACACAATCCATATGCTATGTGTCATGATTTTACAGTATGGTGAATGGAAAAAGTATTATGATTAAATGTACATAGTACTGCATAAGCAGAACTTACCGACAAAATTTAGCAACTACAGAACAATTGCTTTTATGTTACATGAAAGTAAAATTTTAATTCATATTTTATGCGATTTCTTAAAATTCGTTTCTTTGTCGCACTGGGCAAGAATTCCTGTTCCAGCACAGAAACTGGTTTAAATAATAAACAAGCTGGACACGGTGAGAAGAAGACATATAGTCTTGTACTAAACGGAAAAAGACTTGAATTATAAGAATAGGCCGCAGTCCTCATAACATCAGAAATATTGCTAATTTTTAAGTGATCGATATATTTAACTACCAACTTCGAATCTCTCATTCAAAAACAGAAGGCTGAGCCGAACGAATGAAATACAGAGTAGTAATAATACATAATGTAACTCTAAAACTGACTCATATAGCAAAATAATCAGCAATCTCGATTTTTACGGATTATTCAGAATCCATCCACCTAGTCAGCATATTTCATAGTCACGCTGTCCCCTAGCTTTGACCATCTCGATCATAATCATTAAATTATGATTTCACCTATTTTCGATGGCGAAACCAATAGTTCTGTAGAATCCTCGGTCAAAAGTATAAATCTACTATTATTAAAGAGCAGAGCAAGATAGCTTGAGATTAAAGGAACACTTAATAACTTCATAGGCCAATCTCTAGAAAAATTACCTTATCCATGCTTCACACAATCTTTCAATCTAAGTTTTCTAACCCATTGCCTGTCATTAATCAGGCTATTCACTTATGTTATATTGGAACATTATTTATCTCAAAGTGTTAAATGTGCGCCATATGTTTTGTAGTCTTCGGTAAGAGATTTCGTAGTCACCAGATAAAACAATGATTGGTGGACCTTTTCTAAATACAAATTAATTAGTCAATGCGTACAAACGACCAAACTTTATGCTAGATACTAAAGAGATTTCCTTGGTTATGCTGAGGTGTTTTGTGACATAGTGAGTTGTGAAGGTACCTTCCGGAACTGTAAAACGATATTTTATTGATACTTAGATAGACATACCGAATCTGCATCATTTCTTCAGATAAAGTAAACTAAATACACCGATATAATAAAGTTTGTGAAATCTCATAGAATTGGTTGACTTGACCACTTCCGAATGAGCATTGAAAGAGATACAAAAAATATCACTGAATGGATACCACTTTATGGCTATTTCGAGCTGCGGTCAATAAAGTTATAATTAAGCTATTATTAAGCTATTAATAATAATGTTGCTAGTAGCCAACATCCGTAACGGATAGACACCACAAGAAGAACGAGGCCAGTTGAAAACGAGGTCGCACTAAAACGCGTTGATTAGAGAGTTTGGTAGTATGTAGGGAATATAAACAATGTAATTGTTGAACAGGCCAAAACCCATAGGGAGTTGTAGCACTATAGAATAAAAAAGAGCCTCATTTTAGTTTCATACTAACTTTCTCATTATCTTTGAAATGTAAGGAAAAAACCTCAACATCGTTCTGGATTATATAGTGAGACAAGAACCTCTGCTTCGAAGCTTTTATTCATAAATCGAGGATTGTATTGACATTTTATTAAATGATGGGGTCTAGCCATTGGTTTAATTTAAATCAGATCGATAGCTCATCAGAAACAACTGAATGTACTGGTCTTAATCACTTTGATGTTCATATACAACTTTGAAAAGATGTTTGCCAATCGTTCGATTCATCCTCTCCATAATTCTTTGTGACTAAGGATGCTAGGGCGTCGCATTGGTCTTACTGACACCAATCAATTGAAAGACGTTTTGAAAAAGTGCCGATTAGAAATTTCTCGGTTAGTCTAATTATTGTCTAAAGGAACGACAAAATGGTTAAAAAATTCTATAACCAGAATATCTTCTTCTTCATGTGCCTTGTCCGCTCCGAACGTTGGCAATCAACATGGCTATTCTGACTTTGTTTACGGCAGATCTGAATAGTTCAACAGATGACAATCCAAACCATTGCCGCAAGTTTTGGAGCCACGAGTGTCTTCTCCTCACCAGAATATCTACAATATCAAAATATGGTACAAGCCTCCTGATTTGAGATTGCCTGTACCTCAGTCCGATTAATAAAATAATCCATTACCACTAGATTATACCTATTTCCAAATTCCGTTTCTTAATAGTTTTGCAATATTAATGGCTACTCTCTTCATTGGATTGCCAACATTATTATTGTTTTAAAGATGCTCTATTTTTATCAACTGGACTATTGCTTGTTGCACAGAATTTGCATGTTTGGCACTAACTTTTTTCATTTCCTTTACAGTTTACGTAATAGAACCGTTCTCAAACCTTTTGTAACGTCTTTGTAATATCAAAAATGTCCAACTCATGTCACATCATGTAATAAACGTAATATTTCTGATACTTTACTTTTGCAATTTAATATTTTTATTGGGAATACGCCACAATTTTACTTTAAATAAAATAAATTTATTTTAAGTTTCCACTTTGAAAATCGTTCACAAAACGTTTCTATTTTTTTTGTAATAGAGTATTTAGTGCATTATGATAATTAGCTATGTTTTTTAAAATGTGTCCATATATAAAGGGCTCAGTAGCCAACTAAATATAACAACTGAGAAAATTGACTTTGTTTAAAAACTTGTAATAAAATAACGACTCCCATATAAGTGCTAATAATAAATTTTATTGAAATGTAACATACTGATAACTTAAATATAATAAAAGTTAATAAAAATAAAAAGCGTTTTTCTTTTTTGATGCATTTAAAGAAGAAAAAATGACTTATGCTAAGTGTCTACTGAACTAAATAAAATAACGAGAAAGCTAATAGATTCAAGTTGGGCGATCACTGAAGTTCGACGTTTAGCCCTTTCTATTAGTGGCAAATCTTTTTAAAAGTTATGGTAATGCTGTGGAATGTATGGAAGCAAATCAAACATGTGTTTCTTTTTTAAGTCTTTGACAGGTCTACGATTTGGGTAGAGTTGATCTTGAACAATATTAAAGAACTTGTGAAAGTGGTCTTCCTTTTCGAACTTTTTTGCAATGTTGATCTTGTAATATGGAAAATCTTCTTGCACTGTTTCTTTATAGAAAAAATTTATGTATAACTAGTTAACTTTTTCTCATGTATTATCAATTTTTCTATTAATAATGCAGTTTACCAACATTATTGTCGAAAGAAATTCTTCACGTTTCATTTTAATTATTTGAAATAGATTAGTCTTCATAGCACTGGAAACTTAATTAACCTAATCTTTAGGACCATAAATAAACCCCTTATTCTTTGCCTTTGACTCAATAACTCCAAAATCTGCATCATTCGGAAGGTAGCTATGATCTGAGGGGAGGAATTTATGGTCGATTGAAGTAGTATCCTGTACAATGGTTCGAATATAAAATGATATCATTACGACTTACTGCATTCATTTTTTAATATTTTGACAGGCAGTAGGCAACTTCCTGTGAACCTCGAGATCCCCCTGTTTCGTCCTACAAACATGTACCTACCCCTTGTTGACGTTAAAACTATGAATTTCCACAATTTAAACATATAAGTTCATCTTATAATGAGCAACAGATGTACTTAGTTTGGGAAAAGGTAAAGCTTTTTGTAGATCGAATGTAAGAACATAAATGTTTTTATCAGCTAAATTTTTATCTTCGTTAAGCGAATCTCTCGCTAGTTTTGCCTTTCTGACATGAATTTCTTTATCGGTTTTTGCTTTCTGTATATTTGTGTCGTTATTCCCAAATCTGAATATATTTGCAAATAATCGCATATCTGACATGTATCTTTAGATGGAGGTTTAAGTAAAAATTAAAATTTGATGAGAAAACATGATAGTACATTTTTCCTTGACTGGTTCTGAACGTTCCCATTCGCATTTGTCTTCTTGATAAAGTTAATACATTTTTCTAATATTTATATCTGGATTTAAATATATTTTATCTGGAGCATCACAAAGTATATAATGGCTCTTATAGCAATGAAATGACTTGATGTGTTCCTTGACTTTCGTGACATCAATTTTATTGGTTGGTTCTTTGTGACCTCTTTTGTCTATGCAAGAAACTGGTCTGTTACTACAAGACAGTTTATAGATACGCCCCTTACTCACTTGAAAGGTATCTTTAAAGAATTTCTTTTACACACGAATGGACATCACTGTAGTAGTCAAGTAATACTTTATTGATTTTAATCTCGACGCTCTTGATCCATTTCAGACGCGACGTTTTTGAACAGAACTATTATGAATCAGTCCACGAAAATACATGTTCTGCTTTGTATTGTCATCTAACTTATTTTGTGTTTCTTTGAGTGTTATATTGAAAAACAAAGCCGTCTTTGTAAATGTTACAATCAACATTTTGAAACGATTTGCCAAGCTTATTCTTGCGGTTTCTGTTCACATAAGCTTTTCCACTATACCGTCGAATTGCATTGACTGTCATACCATAACCTTCCATATGACCATAACCTTCTGACTACCATAACCTTCCCCCCTCCCCATTAATTCTCAATCACATAATTTTCTACTCTAAGAGCATGTGCAGGTCAATTGGAAACATCTGAAACAAACTTCAGTGGTCAGAGTGTGTAAGTCAAAAAAATTTTTTCTATGAATACCTATGATGTAATTTCACAATAATATGTTTTGTGTTTATCTTTAGTATTAATTACTACAACATTTTTAATCTATTGTTAACAGAAAAAGCATAAAACATATTTTCGTAAGAAATTATTCCGACTTTTTAGTAGACTATTCCTCAGAAGCTTTATATTTAAAGTTTTGTGTAGGAAAACATACTACCCTCAACATACACGAAAACGAAAACACATAGGTATTAATTAAGATAATAAACAAGATTGAATATGCATATCATACCATTTAGTAATAAGTTTGTAATTAAATATTTTGGTTTTGGTATCAATGGCTTGATTTTAAAGCCTAAAAGCCTAAATTATATTAATTTAAAATGCATTTGACACAGCTTATAAGACATCAGTTTTTTAATTCGTTAAACATATTTTTTATAATATTATTATACTATTTTAGATATTTTGAGAATGCGAAGAAACTATCAAAAATTATAAAAGACCAACCACAAACTCCCCTAGAAAGGGCAGTATTTTGGGTGGAGTTTGCAATCAGGAATAATGGAACTCACATTTTGGATCCAGCCTCTAGACAAATGTCTTATTTTATAACATCCTCTCTTGATATATATTTATTTTTAGTGAGTGTTATTATTGTCATTTTATGGTTGTTGCTAAAATGTTTGAGATTGATGAAATATTGTCTCTGTAGAAACACTAAAAAACTAAAAGATGAATAAAGAATTTAAGAAATAACGTAATTATGTTCATCAATTTTATTTACATTCTTACCATTTATATCTACTAATATAATTATCTTAAGTTTATTCTTATGATTTGTTATGAAGTTTTCGTTACGATGTTTATGTTCTTGCACATGTTAATATTAAGTGTATCTAAATAAAACAATACATACAATTATTAATATTTTTCTTATAATAGATATAATACTAGATCGAGAATATTTTGCTAAATAAATTGTGTAGCCATTATAACTAAAAATTATCGTAACTAGCAACCTAAACTGGTTATAATAAAACGTTTGGGTTTTATATCCTTAACACAAAGATGACGATTTGAATAGTTCTTTTTAATTTCTTACTAAAGAAAATATTTAGAAAAACTTTACTAAAATTACAACAGAAAATTTACGAAAATGCAAACCAAGCCCTCGCTTGGTTTATCTCATCTCTGAAAAACTAAGATACATGGACTGATGTTAATAATGAATACTGAAAACTAAAATAAAATATTGAAAGACTGAAAATAACATATTGAAAGGTATTTAAAAAGGGAAACACAAGATTGTGAAGTATTTTGTTTTCTCTCCCATCTCTCCCGCCCATCACTTTTTCCAAATACGTGATCTCTACTCTTGTTTTATTGTCGGAAATTCCTTGTACTGTAACATTTCCCATTGTTGTATGATTTGGATGTCTTTCTTCTAATGTCCTTTTAACCCTAGAACTACAAGGTTAAATTAGTGGGAAAATTTTCACAAGGTGGTTACCAGAGATCCGAAACTATGTTCCAAAATAAAAAACATGTAATTATTTTTTAAACTTACTCGTATTTATCAAAAAGTTATATAATTTTCAAACAATTGTACCAAGTAAATGAAACCGAGTAACAATTGTCGAGGTGTTAAGAAGAATTGAAAAGAAAAATGAATTTGGAAGTCCATTCAAATTTTAAAATAAAAATATCTTAGTGAAAGTTTTCAATACCTGATGGTGCACATTAGCGTTACAGCCAATAATTCTGGTCCGAACTTATATTTAAACTATCTGCCAAATTCCTCGAAACTTTAGAAACTAGGCCGATTTCTGTGGAATAGAAAAATAACTTGATTACATACACACATTAAAAGGGAAATCAATGTTAATGTCAAAATTACTTAGTCATATGTTTTTCTGTGGGTACATTCAAAGCGTGCACAAGCACAAAGATAGTGAAACAAGGAATTAGGTACAAAATAAAATAAAATAGGAGAAAAACAAGCTGCTTTTATAAATGACCATAAATATACTCATAATTTTTTTTATTCAAATTAACGTGTCTCGACATCTATGGCCATTGACACGGGTACAAAAACGTCTGGAGTATTACATTATACATATAAGATTATTACATTACATAAGATAAATACAGTAAGTTAAATAAGATTTGGAAAGATATAGTGTTACAAAATTTGTTTTTTTTTTAAACAATGTTACAATATTTGTTATATACGATAATATAATCTGCAATCTTTTAAAAGTCAATTAGAGCACTGTACACATTTAGCGAACTAAGTATCTGTTTCAGGTTACCGTTTATATTATGAGCTAATCTATATAGTCTATAATAACTGCACTCAACGGGTAAGTGTTCTACTGTAAGGCGCTGACAATCACAATGTTCACAATCAGGTTCACAATCAGAGTTTTCGGAAGTCATCAGGTATCTGTGAGTGATGCGAGTGTGTCCTATTCGGAGTCTTCGAATGATGAGTTTGTCCCTCCTAGTCACTGTAGGTGTCTTAAATGAGTATACAGTGGGATTGATTATATGCAGTTTTGTGTTTTGTCCATTCCAGTGATTTTGCCATGTTTTGCAAGTGTTTTGTTTGATGGTTGCTGCTGATCTTGATGAAGTTGAATATTTTCCAGGCTTAGGTCAGAGCAACTTGCTTTTCTTGCTGCGATGTCTGCAGACTCATTTCCACGTACGACAGATGTGTTGAATTTTTTGGACTATCGGATTTAACGAGTATATGTTGGCAATGGACTGAATTGAATCAGTGCATACAGCTAGAGATTTTGTATTGGGGGAAGTCCTTTCAAGAGCTTTAAGGATACCGTATAATTCTGCAGTATGAATACTACACGTGGTTGGTAGTCGGTGTAAAACTAAGATTATGTTTTCAGTACAGACTGCACAGCCAGTATTCTTTTCATCTTTAGATGCGTCGGTATAAAGAACATGATTGTACTCTTTTGCATTTATTGCTTCTTGAAATAATTGTCTAAGGAGGTGGTTAGGAGTGTCTACTTTTTTATGTCGAGTTAAACTAGTTTTGAAAGCAGGTAGCTTGTTGGTCCATGGAGGAGTATTGGAAGTACTGATGGGGTAGTTATATTCAGGTCTATAGTTGCTAGCAAAGGATTTACTAATTGTGGTAGGGGGTAAACAGATCTGTCTCTATTTTCAGGAGCGTGGTGGATGTTAATGAGCTTAAATACTGGGTTTTTTGGGTTCGCTAAAACTCTAGTGAAATAAGAAGAGAGTAAAAGCTAACGTCGTATGAAAATAGGAGGTTCCAAAGCTTCAATGCACATGCTTTTGGCGGGGCTAGATCGAAATGCACCTAGGCATATACGTAAGGAGGTCGTTTGTATTGAATTTAGGGGTTTAAGTTCAGTTTTACAGGCGGTCACGTAAAGCATGCATCCATAATCTAATGTAGAGCGAATAAGAGCTCTATAGATTCTCAGTAACATATTTTCTTCATCTTCCCATTGATGATGTGCAAGTGTTTTCAATATGTTTAGTTTGCCAGCACAGTTGTCCTTTAGATTTTTTAAGTGTATTTTCCAGTTTAACTTCTGATCGAATATTAGCCCTAAGATATTATGATTATTTACTGTAGGTAAAGGAACGTCGTTTAGATATATATCTGGGTTTGGAACGCTTTGCTTTTTGGTAAATCTTAGTAACTTAGATTTTGAGCTGGAAAGTTTGATGCTGTGTTGTATGGACCAAGAATATACATTGTTTACAGCATTTTGAATAAGATTTGATGTACTGGATATGCTTGCTCCACTACAGTAAATAAGTAGATCATCAGCGTATAGTAGAGCTTTTACCGGTTGACGAACTTCTTTAGAGATGTCATTAATTGCTAATTTAAACAGAGTTGGACTTAAAACAGAGCCTTGAGGTATATCATTGAGTTGTTCGAGAAGATTTGACTCATTAACGTTTATTGCAACTTTAAATTTACAGTGATTTAAAAAGTTATCTATGAACGTGTAAATATTACCTGTAATATTATTATCGATAAGTTTCTGTAATATTACATTCTTTGGTATAGTATCGAAGGCGCTTTCAATATCGAAGGCTGCCATAACTGTATCATGTTCCTTCATGAAATTCTCGGTTATAGGGTTTTGTAGTAATACTAAATTGTCTATTGTGCTTCGATGTGGTCTGAATACCGACTGAATGGAGCTAATTATATTATGCTTTTCAGAAAACCTGTTAAGTCTATTATTGATTAGTTTTTCCATTAATTTGCACATGCAACATGTTAATGAGATTGGTCTATAAGAGAATGGCTCTATTGAAGGTTGGTCGGGTTTTTTTATTGGAAGAATGATGGATTGTCTCCTCAGGTTGGGAAACTTTTCCTTGATCCAAAAAAGATTATAAAATGAAAGTAGCTTTGTGAGTCCATTAATGGCTAAATTTTTAAGAAATATGAAGGGTATATTGTCAATTCCTGCTGCTAAATTTTTTAAGGTAGATATAGAAAATGAAAGCTCCTGAAAAGTAAAAGGGGTGTTTAAAGCGAGGAGGTCATCTGAGAGATCTGTAGTAGAAGGAATAATTTTATGTTGAGTTAGAGTATTTGTGTAGTTGTCGTTTTTGCTTTTTTTATTATGAAAATGAGTTGCCATAATTTTAGCAATTTGATCATCTTTAGTTACTATTGAATTATGATAACTATTTATGTGTTGTTTTCCCGTGCATTTGTTTAATTTTCTTCCAAACTTGACTGGAAGGGGCGTCTATAGGTATGGAAGCTATGTACTTATTCCAACAGTCTTTTTTGTTTTATCACTCTTCGTGCAATAGCTTTTAGTTGTTTGAATTTTAATTAGGTTTGACTCAGTTCTGGTTCTACGATATTTATTCAATGCTGTATTGCTTTCTCGGATAGCTTTCTTACATTCAGTATTCCATCAAGGTACAGTTTTACGAGAAGACGATATTGTGCATGTTCCAATGTGCGTTTGAGCAGCTATGGTGATAAAACTCACTAGGGAGTCTAGTGCTGTATCAGGATCTTCTCGTAGTTGTAGCTGGTTAATCTTGTTTTCAATGAAGGCTAAGAAGTTTTTTCAGTTAGCTTGAGATAATTTCCATTTTGAAATTTTTGCTTTGGGTTTGCTGATAGAATTAGAAATCATGATAGGAAAGTGATTACTGTCATAATGCCTTGATCCATTGTAGTCCAAGTTTGAAGTGGTGTTAACCTTGGGTCACATAAACTAAAATCAATTGAGGAAAAATTGCCACTAGAAATGTTTAAGTATGTTTTGGATCCGTTATTTAATATACAGATGTTAGAGGAGTTTAAAACATTTTCAACGACCTTTCCTCTACCAAATGTTTTTTTCGAGCCCCAAAGTGAATTATGGGCATTAAAATTAATCGCCTATTATAAAGGGGGCTGGAAGTAAATTAATTAAGTTTATTAGCTCAAATTCAGTAAGGCTGTAAGAAGGTGGTATGTAAATGCTACCGATTGTAGTTTTATTTGGACACCAAAGAGAAACAGCAATAACTTCTAGTGAGGTAGTTAAGGGTACTTCTTTGCAATACTAGTTTTTAAAAGTATATATAGATGTGCCTCCACTAGCTCTGATATAAATTGTTCTTAAAAAGTGATGTGCTTGAAAACCATTGAGATATTTCTTGTCCGTTTGCTTTAAGTTTGTTTCTTGTAGGCAAATCATAGCGGCATTCGTGTTCATGATTAGTTGTTGAATGCGTTCTAGACGGGGGTAAAACCCGTCGCAGTTCCACTGGATTTAATTGAATATGACGATATTATGTTTCTGAAGTGGTTGCCCCTGCAGAGAGATGGTCTTTTTCGAAATTGTCTTGTGAGGATACCGAGATTATGCTTTCTG